GCCTTAAACCTCGGTTAGGGTTTTCTTAGGGGTTTTGTAGGGTCTAGGGTTCCTCAAAACCCCCCTACTTCCCCGTCCTCTTCGGGCACCCTGGACCCGAACTACCCCTCCCCCTTTGACGGCGCCCGTGCTAGCCTTGCTAGCGCCGTTCGCCGCTTTCTACAGCGGACTTCCCCCTACGCCCTCCGCTCACGCGGACCTCTTCTTGCCCCCTCCAGTCCGGTCCGTCATCTCCTCATGGCCGACGGTGCGTCACACGCCGTCGACACGGCGATGACCACGACATCGGGCTCCACATCCGTGCCGGTGGACCAAGGCCATCAGCCCCAAGGGGGATCTACACACCCTCCTCACCTCCCTCCTTGCGCCCATCCAGGCGCAACTCGCGACCCTCGCGCCTATCCACGCGCAACTCGCGACCCTCGGGCCCTTACAGGCGAAGGTGGCGACCCTTGCCGCCGGCGTGCAACAACTCCAGGATGCTAGTCGTCCTTCCTCTCCTCATCCTCTCTCTTCTTCTTGCTCTCAATCCGGGTCCCCAGTTCTCGACAAGGTGGCCACGACGGAGTTTCCTCCTCTGCCGCCCCCGACCTGGCCATTTTGGTGACCGTCCACGCCCCTAGCTCGACGGCCGCCACGAGTTAGACCCTTCCTCAGTCTACGGGGGCACCGGCCCAGATTCCGGTTACGACAGCCACGGGACCACAACCCGTTACCATGGTCTCAGCGTTTCCGGGTGCCCCGCTCCTACCCCCCCTTCGCACGACCGCAGCGCCACCTGGCTCTTCCCCCTCTGGGATGCCCCGCGCCGCTTGTGCATCCACTTCCTCCACTCTTCCCCCTGCTACCCCTCGCACGACCTACGTTTGAGGTCTCGAGGACGAGATTGCCCAGCTCCGGGCCAACCTCGCCCTCTTACGCCTTCATCCACCCCCACCCTCACAGGTGGCCGCGCCTTCGGGCGCACCCCCTATCTCCTCTACCCTTCCTCCCATGCAGGCTCSCTTTCCRCGCCCYGCACCCTATACAACTCCTTCCTACCTTCTTCCTACTCCCGCGGTTGCTGCGACCTCTTCTACCGCAGCACCCTCGCAGCCTGCCGCTGTTGCCACCGCCCCTCCCCCATGCGGCCCGAGCGCACAGTCAGCTGCGCCCCTTTCTCCAGGACCTGCGCCAACTTACTCAGTCGTGGCACAGGCCTCCGCTCCTCGATCCCCTCGCCGCCAAAACGGTGGCGCACCACTCATCCGCTTGTCGGACATTGCCTTGTATGACGGTACAGGCATACGCATGTCTCGGTGGCTGCAGTCTGCCACCCGCACACTCCAGCTCATGGGCACCACACCCGAGACGTGGGTGGGTCACCTCTCCACGTGTCTGCATGGCGGTCCTTTCGAGGCCTGGGAGGATTTTTATGCCTACGCCCTTCGTGAGGGTCGGACTCCGACCTTCGTGGATTTCCAGGCGTTCCTCGAGGATCGCTTCGGAGCCCGATACAACGTGACTGACGCCTTCGAGCGTGTCGTCACTACACGCTGGTCCGGCTTTGGTGGCGCTGCCGGCCTGGATCGCCACATCCAAATCTTTCAGGACGCCCGCCTCGCTTGCGACGTGGCGTTCCTCCCCGAGGCTGCCCTTTTCGATCGTTTCTTGGCCAGCCTTCCGCTCGAGTACCGCTCCGAGCTATGGCGGTACGAGTTCACATCGGCCCCACAGACTTACGAGGCCGTCAGGGACCACCAGCGGATGCGAGCCTATCTTCACCCCTCCTCCTCCTCCCAGCCCCAGCGCGCGGGCTACGCCTCCTCCTCCTCTCACGACACTTCCCAACGCCGTTCCCCTTTCCGCGGTTGCCCCCGCCGTTCCACGCAGCAGGGCCGCCACTTCTCGCACCGCTTCAGCGCGCTGGAGTATGGTGAGCAGGACGTTGTTACCCCACTGTCATCTGAGGGCGACCACAGCGACGACCTTGATCTCTGCGAGGCCGTCCACTATCACTTGGAGGACTCTACCCTCCCTGCAGTTGAGCGCCTTCAGCTCGCGCTCTCTGCCCTCTCTCGGGCACACAGCTGCCCCGGTCACGCTGGCGCATCGCCCCCCGAGGTCCCTCAGGAGGACCTCCCTCAGGGCTTCGTCCCTCCTCGTGGTGTCCTTTCCCCTGAGGAGCGTGCGGCTGTTCTGGGCCGGCGTGGGTGTTTGAGCTGCCGCTTGGACGGTCATACCTCCTCGCGGTGCCCTTACACTACCGCCCTCGACCACCACCACGCTAACCTTTCTCGTCAGCGTCGTGCTCAGTCCCCCCCCGGCGCCTCACGTCCCCGCGGCGCCTACTAGCCACGGTGCAGTGTACACCTGCGCCCTCCTCAGTAGTGGGCTTCCCGACATCTCCGTCGTGGTTCGCCCCTCTCGCTACTGGAGTTGAGGTATCGCAGGACTCAACAGAGTGTACTCAGCCCTCTGTCGCAGTACCGTCTTCGCCTCCGCAGACCACCGTCTCCCCTCCTCCCCCGCAGCGATTACCGACGCGTCGAGCCATTCGCTCAGCCCGTTGCAGCGAGCAGCTTGCTACTCGCAAGGACGTTGTGTCCTCTCTTCTGGACTTGAGCATGTTCCAGGCTCGTCAGGAGCGAGTCACCCTCCATGTCGCTGCACTGCGTCGCCTTCTCGCCATCCTCTCTGACCCTGATCACACCCTCCCGATCATCCCCGTACGACTCGGGACCTCCACGCGGGTGTACTCAGCGCTGTGGGATTCCGGTTCTCAGGGCGACTTCATTCACCCACGCTTGGTGAAGGAAGTCCGCTTACCCACGACAGGGTCTCCAACTCCCATCTCCGTTACCCTAGGGGATGACAAGACCCAACGCTTCTTCGATAAGACGGTCACCGACCTCCCCTTCTTCCTCACTCTCGAGCCGACTGAGCGTTCCCCGGCGTCTCGTCGCCACCGCTCCTCTGCACATTTCGATGTGATGGAGACGGGGTACGACTTCATTCTCGGCACTCCGTGGTCTCGTCGGTTCCGCAGCACCGAGGCCGATTAGGCGACCAACACTCTCGTTCTCAAAACGAAGAGTGGACAGACTTATCGCGTACCTTTCATAGGTACCACGACGACACCACGCCCCGATCCTCCTCCTCCGGAGCCTTCAGTGCCCACACCATCTCCCTCTATCATTGTCACCTCGCCTCGGCAGTTCGCTCACTTCATTCGAGAGGACGACGTCACCTTCTTTATGGTGGACGTGACGGATCTCTTACACTATGATCCACCCTATCCCAACGCCGAGCTCATCCCTCTGAAGCCAGATCCTCCCTCTATCTCCATGGCTACCATCTCTACTTTCGTCCCTCCGCCGTCCGTCGAGTCCACCCCGCCGTCGCGCGCTAACGCTAACGCTGAGGAACTCGAACGATATACGGCTGACTTGGAGCCCGCAGTTCGTGACCTCATCCGAGAGTACCACGACGTTTTCCCATCGTCGTTCTCGTACGCCGGCATCCCACCGATGCGT